AGCAGGTCGAGGCTGCAGTGGCAGGAAGCGTGCCACTGCACTCCAGTCTGGGCGACAGAGTGAGACTCCAACTCAAAAAAAAAAAAAAAAAGGAGTGTGTTTGAAGGATTGCATTCATGGCTTCAATTCTTTATGCCCCTACCCTGTATCAACAACCTCTACCATGTTGTAATCTTATAGTCCCCTCTGAGTCTGACCATGGACCCACCATGTGACTCGTTGTGAAAGGGATGTTAGCTTACGCAACTTAAATAGAGGCTTGGAAAAGCTCTGTACATCAGCTTTTGCTCTCACACCTCATCAATGCCATGAGAAGATATCTGGGCTAGCTGGCTGGATCATGAGAGTCACATGGAACACCAGCTTCCAGCTCACGGATTCACAGATGTGGCGGAAAGTCCACCAGGATGGTCAGGACTACCTAACTGATTGCCCCAGATGCATGAACGAATGCCTTCTGTTGCATGATACGGAAGTTTTGCTGCTGTTTGTTGAGCTGCATTGTTGTGGCAGTTGATACAAGTAGCCTTCCTTATAGGTGATCTAGAATCTAGAGTTCTCTTGTTTGCCAGTTTTATAAGTAATGGGGGAAGGGGAAAGGGGAAAGAGAAAGAAAAATACTTGACTGAAACACCTTTCTCTCTCCTAACTTTATATAGAAGATTAGATAGAGATGGGGATAAATTAGATGAATTAGTGGAAATAGTAGGCTTCATTCAAAGGTTATTTATTTGATTGATATTAAAAGCAGAAAGGATCGCTGGGTTCGGTGGCTCAGCCTGTAATCCTGCGCTTTGGGAGGCTGAGGTGAGTGGATTGCCTGAGCCCATGGGTTCGAGACCCGCCCAGGTAACTTGGCGAGACCTCATCTCTACAATAAATCAAAAATTAGCTGGGCGTGGTAGCGCGTGCCAGTAGTTCCAGGTACTCGGAAGGCTGAGGCGGAAGGATCGCCAGAGCCCAGCAGGTCGAGGCTGTGGTGGCCGGGAGCGGCCACTGCACTCCAGTCTGGGCGACGGAGTGAAACTCCAACTCAAAAAAAAAAATCAGAAAGGATCTAATAAAACTTTCTATCAACAGGGGATAAGGACAGGTGAGTGAGAGAAGAGGATAAGAAAACTTAAGCTGGACGCAGTGGCGTACGTCTGTAATCCTAGCACTTTGGGAGACAGAGATAGAAGGATTTCTTGAACCCAGGAGTTCAAGATCAGCCTAGGCAACATAGCAAAACCTCATCTCTAAAAAAAAAAAAAAAATCCAAAAATTAACTGGTGTGGTGGTGCATGCCTGTGGTTCTTGGAAGACTGAGGCAGAAGAATCACTGAGCCCAGCAGGTTAAGGCTGCAGTGGCTGTGAGTATACTGCTGCACTCTAGCCTGGTCAACAGAGTGAGATTCCAACTCAAAAAAAATTTAGCTTAAAAAGAAACAGGAAAACGTTGAAGTTTTCCTTCGGAGAAACCTTTCCCTCCAGGAAGCTGGTCCTCCCCAAGGCTTACCTCCAGAGAAACGTCTGTCCCATTCCAACTGGATGTATCCAACTTGAAGGAAGCAAGACCATCATTGTCAGTAACGAAGGTCTGATGGATCGTTCCACTTGTGCCATAAATCACCAGAAACACTGGACGGTCCTTGAGAAGGGAGCCATCATGGCCTCTAACTCTTATCTGAGGGGTGAAAGTCATTAGGGCATTAGAATTGGGTTTGGAGTAGGCTTGAGTGTGAGGCACAGTGAAGTAATAACAGAAAATCTCAGAATACATCCCAGGACAGAGTCCCGAAAAAGGCAGATGAGATTCAAACATTTGAAACTAGGATCTATGAGGATCTGAGAAACAAGCAGAAGGACCAGCCTGAGCAGAACGAGATTTGCCATTTGGCTAATGATGCTGCAGGGCTCTCCACTCGCACAGGCTCCTTCCAAGGTTCTGAGGCATTAGGAAGGGCCCTGAGGTCACAGTGATATTGTTTTGGGACTGGGCACGATGGCCCACACCTGTAATCTCTTCACATTGGGAGGTCGAGGCAGGAGGATTGCTTAAGCCCAAGAGTTCGAGACCAGCCTGGGCAACATAGTGAGACCTTATCTCTACCAAAAAATCAAAAAATTAGTTGGGCATGGTGGTGCACACCTGTATTCCCAGCTACTCGGGAGGTTGAGGCAGAAGGATCACCTGAGTCCAGGAGGTAAAGCCTGCAGTGAGCTGTGAGCTGTGATCATGCCATTGCACTACAGCCTGGGCAACAAGATAAGATCCTGAATGAGTCAGAGTCTTACTCTGTTGCCCAGGCCAGAGTGCAGTGGCATGCTCATGGTCACCACAGTCTTGACCTGCTGGGCTCAGGTGATTCTTCCGTCTCAGCCTTCCAAGTAGCTGCAACTACAGGCATGCGCCACCATATCCAGCTCATTTTTTGATTTATTGTAGAGATGAGGTTTCACCAAATTGCCCAAGCTGGTCTCAAATCCCTGGGCTCAGGCAATCCTCTCGCCTCAGTCTCCCAAAGTGCTGGGATTAGATGCGCCTGGCACTTTCTTTTTCTTAAAGAGAGCCTCTTTCTCCTCCCAAATTGTATAATCCTTAGACTCAAAAAAAAAAAAACAAAAAACAACTGGAACTACCCTTGACCTAGAGAAAAGATAGTAAGATATCTAGGAATAAATTCATCTAAATGTATACAATATTACTGTGTAGACCAGTTGTGTGGGAAGTAAAGAAAGACAAGTTGAAAGAGGAAGGATTCAGTTTGATATCAGGAAGAAGATACTAACAGGAAAATTTTAAAACTCTAAAGAAAATGTTTAAGGAGCTGTCGTCAATGGCTCTCTGTTCAAAAAAGTTGGATATTAACCTCGCCTAGATGCAGGAGCCCAGGTTAGGTGATTTCTCTAGAAATCTTGCAGCTCTTACATTCAAAGATTTGGACACTAGAATGAGACCCTGGCATGAAGAAGGGTCCCGAGGTCACATTAATTAATATTCAAGACACATCTCAAGTGAGACTGAGGGCAGCACAGCACGAAGAGTTAAGAAGCCCCGTATGCAGGCTTCCTGAATTTGGCCATAGTTACCACTTATTAGCTGTATGACCTTGAGAAACACCACTCATCCTCTCTTGCCTCAGTCTCCTCATCATAAACAAATAAATAAATACTCATAAATAAGTGAATACATGGAAAATGCTTGGGACAATGCTCAGTGAGCTATTTTTATATGGCTACAGGAAGGAGGCAAAAGTGGATAGTTAAACCTTTCTTGTCTACGCAGAGACAAGTCTTCACATACCTTCCCATTGAAGGGGAAATTGGGGTAATAAAAATTATTGGTGTCTTCAAAAGTCATTGATCCCATCTGTGATGAAATGTAGATATCCTGAGTGGTATTGGCCGCCACTCCTGCAGAGGAAAACCAGGTGTATAGTGATCTAACCACCCGATACCCTCATCTTCATGTTTAACATCAAATCCCAGGGAGAATGGTGATACTGGAAATATGAAGTAGAATGTGTTTCTAGCCAAAGATCCAAAGCAACTTATCCTTTCCAAACTTTTGGAGAAGTTGGAAGTATAGGTCATATTTCCTATAGATGGCAGGGTGGAGTCTGGCATTTCCCCATGACTAGTAACTAGGAACAGGATTACCTCCCAAACCAAACACTCATGAGGGTAGGTCTCGAACCCTTGAGTAAATCTGTCCCCGAGACAGCCTTTTTCTTTCTCTGTCTCTCTTTTTTTTTTAATGACAAGGTCTCACTCTGTCACCCAGGATGGAATGTAGTGGTGCAATCATAGCTCACTACACCATCCCAAGTGGCTGGGACTATAAGGCACCCGCCATCACACCCAGCTAATTTTAAAAATTTTTTAGAGACTGAAACTTGCTATGTTGCCCAGGCTGGTCTCACAATCCTGACCTCTTCCTGCCATGGCCTTCTAAAATGCTGGGATTACAGGTGTGAGCCACCACACCTGGACTCTTTCTCTTCTCTTAAAAGAGCCAAGAAGTACCACCACTTACCTGTCCCTTCCTCCACCACAGTAGCTACAATATTGATGTTGTGGTTGTACATATATCCAGTGAGGTTAAAGGTGGCCATGTCCACAGATGCTGAGAAGCATCCTGTTTTGTCAGTCTAGTAAGGTAATCAGAGAGAGAGAGAATGAGGAATCGAATTTCTACTTTCATTTCATAATGCACTGTAGAAGAAAATAATTTATCCCTATACCCCATATCTTTTTTTTTTTTTTTGAGTTGGAGTCTCACTCACGGTCACCACAGCCTTGACCTGCTGGGCTCAGGTGATCCTTCCGCCTCAGCCCTCCAAGTAGCTGGAACTACGGACATGTGCCACTACGCACGGCTAATTTTTTGATTTATTGTAGAGACAAGGTCTCACGAAGTTGCCCAGGCTGGTCTCAAAGCCCTGCGCTCAGGCAATCCTCTTGCCTTGGCCTCCCAATGTGTTGGGATTATAGACTTGAGCCACTGCACCAGGCAGTATACTCCATATCTTTAAGAGAGAAAAATGCTCCTATAACATGCTCCTATAACACTCGCACATATATAATCATAACGTGATGTTGAAGTGCTAAGATTTGAGAAGGGGAAAAAGAGCCAACTGCAGAACTGGAAAAGTATATCTTACAAAGGTTTAGGCTAATTTCTTGAATACAAGACAGACTCTGAAAGACCATTCATCCAGGATGAAGAACACCGCTCTGTTCTTCGGAACTGGGATAACGATCTTGTGAAATGCGTTCTACTTCGGGCTTGTAACCGCTTTTCTACATTGGTGTTTACGTCCTCTTGGAGACAGGTGGCAAATTTCTACATCCCGCTCACTTGCCTGTCCAGAGAGGTTCCTGCACTTGTCAGGCAGCTGTTCCCGTGCTCTGTCTCGATGCCAGTACGGATACGCCTTCTGACACACGGATGCCTGCACTGCCCCCAGCACAGGTTTTCCATAGGTGTACCTAGCCAAGGAAAGCGTGAACGGTCAGAGCTGGGAGGTTCTGCCTGAAAATCCAGCTCTCTTTCTTCAAACACCGCTTTCTCTTCTTTCCCACTAGCCTCTGAACATGTTCTGACAGTCCTGCCTTCTTCTCTCTGTGTTTCCTGCTTCACCCAGAGCCTTAGAATATTGCCATCACACAATAAGCACCATCCTAAGGAAAGTAACCGTATCTTTCTTTCTCTTGATTCCTATTTCTCCATGGGATTCAAGATTGCGTTCTGCATAAAGGAGAGAGTATATCAATCATACTGAGTGGACAAGGGGAAGGAAGGGCAGAAACACCATCATAACGTGTTCTTGGGTAAGTCACGACTCTGAACTACTTAAGATATCCCAGGGTTTTGTTTTGTTTTGCTTTTTGAGCAGGAGTCTCATTCTGTCTCCCAGGCTGAAGCGCAGTGGCACGCTCATGGCTTACCACCGCCTTGACCTCCTGGGCTCCAGTGATCCTCCCGCCTCAGCCTCCCGAGTAGCTCGAACTACAGGCACACTCTGCTGATTTTTTATTTTTCGTCGAGATGAAGTCTCACTATGTTGCCCAGGCTGGTCTCCAACGCCTGGGCTCAAGCGACCCTCCCGCCTCAGCCGCCCAAACTGCTAGGATTACAGACATAAGCCGCTGTGCGTGGTCAAAACATCCCAGGTTTTGGCCTATCCCCCACCCAAACCCTCTCCCATCATTTCTCTCAGTACAGCTTTAATTTCCACCAGATCCAGAGCTTCTACTCTTACCTACAACAAATTTTCACTAGGAAAGATTCCTCCACCACGGATAGCTGCTTGGGGTCCACCACTTCCACCTTGAACTTCGGCAGCACTGGCGAGAGCAGCAAGAGAAGAGGGAAAGCCCAGGAGGAGGACTTGGTCAAATAGGGCAGGAACAGAGGGTTACAAAACAGTGGTGATCAAATGGATTGATTTAATTAAAGGGGTATCATTAAGGCAAAATGCTTCTGAAAGTTTTGGCTTGTTTAGCACTGACTCAACAATGAGTAAATAATCCTGCCTCCGAGTAGATATGACTTTACCTTTGCTGATTTAGAGACTGTCACCCAGGCTGGAATACAGGGGTGCGATCATAGCTCACTGATGCCTCAACTCCTAGGCTCAAGCAATCCTCTTGCTTTAGCTTCCCTAGTAGCCGGGACTACAAGCATGCACCACCACACCTGGCTAATTCACATTTTTGTAGAGACAGGGTCTCTCTATATTGAACTCCTGGGCTCAAGCGATCCTCCCACTTTGGCCTCCCAAAGTGGTAGGATTACAGGTGTGAGCCACCACACCCAGCCTGTGGCCAACACTTTGACCTGCCCATGTCCCCCACTTACCATACTCCTCCACACTGAAAGTGCCAAAGGTCTTGCCGTCAGCCACTGCCACTGTATAGGTGCCCAGCGTCGCCTCTGGTGCCAGCTGGAAGGACAGGTCTACGATGCCGTGCTCAGGCACCACTTCTAGCCACTGTGCAATCCTGTTGCTATTTGGATCCTGTGTCCAATAAAGAGAAACGAGATGATGTGCCTGGCTGTTTGCTTCCCACTGTGCACCGCAAAATGCAGGCCAAGACGCAAAAAGTGCCGGGCTCGGTGGCTCAGCCTGTAATCCCAGCGCTTTGGGAGGCCGAGGTGAGCGAATTGCCTGAGCCCGCGGGTTCGAGACCCGCCTGGGCAATTGATGAGACCTCATCTCTATGATAAATCAAAAAAATGAGCCGGACGTGATAGCGCGCGCCTGTAGTTCCAGCTACTCGGAAGGCTGAGGCGGAAGGATCGCCGGAGCCCAACAGGTAGAGGCTGTGGTGGTTGGGAGCGGCCACTGCACTCCAGTCTGGGTGACGGAGTGAGACTCCAACTAAAAAAATAAAATAAAAGACGCAAAAAGCAGGTAAAGAACCCACCCGTTGTTCATGACCCCTGTGGTCTGCGTCCAGGGAGAACAGATCCCTGTGGTGGTTATCATTTCCTTCAACACTGAATGAGATAAATACTCTTATAGATCCAGCCCCCATTTGGGAGGAAAGGGGTCCTTGTGGACCCGAATGATCAGAGGGAGTCCTCTAAAGCGTTATTACCACTTTTAGAGAGTGGACATCCAAATGTCTTTTACAAAGAATGTTTACTCCATTTCTGGTCCTGTAAAGGGACAAGGCTAAAAAATTGGTTGTAAGATACCTGAAAGATAGGTAACTTAATTGACAAATGGAGGAGAGCCTGTGGGGAACTCATTCTTCTAGATCTTTCCTTTGCAACACTTCTCACGGGTATTCACGTTATTGTTTAACTGTTGAGTGTCAATAAAAAGAACCATTACTGAAGACCAGGAAGATCACACAACCAAGCCTGGCTAAACTGGTATGGCACAGGGAAGTGACAGGAATCAAAGGTGGTGTGGTCATCACAGAGGTTGGTGTCCTTGTCAACAGAGATTTAGGTCTGAGAGACCAGGAGGGTGGAGGCAAGAGGACAGACACAGCTTGGGTGGCCGTGGGTGCTCGGAGCTGGGGCAGAGTCGTGGAGCTCTGGGCTACAAGTTCAGAGTTGTTTCTGCCTTTAGGTTTTTTTTTTTTTTTTTTT